CATCTGGGGGGATCAATCTTGTAGACAAGGCAAAATTACATTTGACCCAAAGACACCTATATTTTTTACACTTTAAACTTTCTAAAATGCGACTTCATCTTATAATCATGACACCTTCGACTGGATGAAATACAGTAACTATAACACAAAGCAGCATTTTGCCCTGAGAGGTGTGCAAAGCCTACAGCAATTAGGACACTGGACCAAGGCCAGGATGCATATTAGAATCACCTGGGAAACTTTTAAAACTACCTTATGCCCAGATCCCACTCCAGACCAACTGAATCAGTATGAAAGAGTGCGGTTGAGCATTTTGGCATTGGTACTTCTTTTTTTTTTTGAGACGGAGTTTTACTTGCCACCCAGACTGGAATGCAGTGGCATGATCTCAGCTCATTGCAGCCTCTTCCTCCTGGGTTTGAGTGATTCTCCTGCCTCAGTCTCCCGAGTAGCTGGGACTACAGGCACCTGCCACCACGCCTGGCTAATTTTTTTGTGTTTTTAATAGAGATGGGGTTTCACAATGTTGACCGGGCTGGTCTCGAACTCCTGACCTCAGGTAATCCACCCACCTTGGCCTCCCAAAGTGCTGGGATTACAGTCATGAGCCACCACGTCTGGCCAGCATTGGTAGTTTTTAAAGCACCCCGTGAGATCCTAATATGTAGCCGTAGTAGAGAACCAGGATAGCAATTTCAAATGAGAGTACAGATTCCCTGAGGTTACCTGAAGACTTTCCAAGGGGCATGCTGACATGAATACTTTGGCAGAGGTCAGCACACTAGGGCTTATGGATGAAATCTGTTGTCTGTTTCTGTACCCCCCAGGGAACTAAGATGGTTTTTACATTTTTTAATGGTTGGGGGAAAAATCAAAAGGGAACTAATTTTGGGGACACATGAAATTCAATTGTAAGTGTCCGTAATTAAAGTTTTATTGGAGCATAGCCATAATCTTTTGTTTACGTATTGTCTATGGCTGCTATAAGGTCAGAGTTAAAGAGTTGGGATGGGACCATCTGGCTGGCAAAGCCTGAAATATTTACTATATGACACTTTACAGAAAAAATTTGCTGACCCTGGCTTGAAGAGAATGAATCTTCAGAATCTCAACATCTTATGTCCTATTCCAGAAACTGACCTGCCTGTAAAGCTACCAGCTGTTAAGGTGTCAGGTGTGGGTGGAGGCTTATCTCCTTTCCCACACTTTTTTCATAATTGTCCTCCCACTTTCAGAAGAAAGGTAGGCCTCTCACCAACACTGGGGTATGAAAAAAAACCCTAGGCACCAGACAAAAGAATAATCCCAAATACTGGTGTCTGATGGGACTCTGACCACTGGGTAACCATATGTATCTATGTATTGATATATGTGTATGTGTGTGTATAATATATAGTAAATCAGGTGAGTTCCAAATATTGCCTTACCAAACCTGAAGGAGAACCCAATCAAGTTATCAGCTGGCAAATTATTGAAAGTATTTGGCTGAGTGTAGTGGTGCATGCTTGTAGTCCCAGCTACTTGGGAGACTGAGATGGGAGGACCTCTTGAGGCCAAAAGTACAAGTCCGGCTTGGGCAACCTAATGAGACCACATCCCTAAAAAAAAAAAAAAAAAAAAAAAAAAAAAAAAAAATTGGCAACAGACGGCTATGTGATTTTTGGCATGTAACTTAGAAAGGGTTCAAAAAATTGAGTAACATAGTGACAAAAAATTAACGTTATAATTATTTATGGAAGCAAGGTACTTTAAGGCTTACATCTAAAATACGTTAAAACGCTGAGTATTGTCTCGTAGGAATAAGCAATATTTGTTCACAGATACGTGAACTAATTAGGAAGAAAAAGTCAATTAATTTCATTAAGAGGTGAATTTCAAATAACAATTTGTTATAATGTTTAATAATTATTAGTATGTGGATTATATTTACATTATTTTGATCAGTTATGTACTAATAATTGTAATGATGAAATGAGGATCTCAATTTCTTGCTACGGGCAAAGGCCCTTCTTCATTTTCTGCCACTTGAGCCCCTCATAGGATGGCTCACAGTGAGGCAGGAGAATAGGGTCTGGAGGCAGAAAACCTAAGGCATTGGCGCTGACCTCCTAGACCTGAATCAGAAGGAAAACCCCATGTCTCTGGCAGATGAAAAATGGAAAGTACCCCTGATTGGTCACCTCCCTGTGACCGATCAGACTGGTTACCTCCCACGACCAATCAGACTGGCTGGGGGCCAAGTCTTCATTTGCATAGGGTGCAACCAAGTAACCAATGAGAAACCTCTAGAGAGTATTTAAACCCCAGAAGATTTTGCAGCAGGTGTTTTTTTGTTTGTTTGTTTTCTGTTTTTGTTTGTTTTTGTTTTTGTTTTGAGATGGAGTTTCGCTCTTGTTGCCCAGGCTGGAGTGCAATGGCACCATCTTGGCTCACCACAATCTCCGCCTCCCTGGGTTCAAGCGATTCTCCTACCTCAGCCTCCCGAGTAGCTGGGATTACAGGCATGTACCACTACCCGGCTAATTTTGTATTTTAGTAGAGACAGGGTTTCTTCATGTTGGTCAGGCTGGTCTCGAACTCCCAACTTCAGGTGATCCACCTGCCTCGGCCTCCCAAAGTGCTGGGATTACAGGCGTGAGCCACTGCGCCTGGCCTACAGCAGGTGTTCTTGAGCCAGTTACTAGAGTGGGCTCCTACTCTGTGGAGTGTAGTTTCATTTCAATACATCTGAGCCTTCCTTGCTTCATTCTTTCCTTGCTTTTTTTGTCCAAAATGCCAAGAACCTGGAGGACTAGTAATCAAGCCCTCCACCGATAACAACAGCATGGCTTCTCACAGAGCAAAGAACTGACAGGCTGGGCGGGACAGAAGCCATGGCCTTTTTGGAAACTAATCTTGTAAGTGACATCCTATCATGTTTATTGCATTCTTTTATATTCGATCTATTCTATTGTTAGCCCCAAGCGGGAGGGGGTGGGGAATTTCAGGGGGTTTCTGACTACCAGGAGGTGGGATTCAGGGGCCATCTTAGAAGCTGCCTCCCACAAAAGCCAATTTTTACGTAACAGTTACATCCTCTACATCTATTTAAATTTAGCATGGTTTTAGATGTCATCTTAAAAATGCATGAAAGGATGCAGAGTTTTCCAAAACTCTTTTAAAAACAAACAAGCAAAAATATTTATAGATCACTGAGCTTCAGGCCTCATTCATCCAGGTCCTATCCTTTGCGAGGGGCTCGCAGAGATCATGGCCAGGGCCCAGTCAGCAGGGGCAAAGGCCTTGAGCGTTTTGGACAGTGAGAAACCCCATCGCCCCAGATCTGGGAGATCCTCTCCCAGCAGGTGGAATATGCAAGGGAAAGGCTCTGTGAGTCTAGAGTCCATGGGTGTTAAGGCCAGGCAGAGGCAGACTTTAACAGGCAAGGAAATGAAGATGATGGTGGGTTCAGGGCGGAAGAGGTTAAAAAGTGCAGTTTACCTGGCCGGGCGCGGTGGCTCCACCAGCACTTTGGGAGGCCGAGGCGGGTGGATCACAAGGTCAGCAGCTCAAGACCAGCCTGACCAACATGGTGAAACCCCTTCTCTACTAAAAATACAAAAAAATTAGCTGGGTGTAGTGGCGGGTGCCTGTAATCCCCTTGACTTGGGAGACTGAGGCAGGAGAATTGCTTGAAACCGGAAGGCAGAGGTTGCAGTGAGCCGAGATTGTGCCACTGCACTCTAGCCTGGGCAATAAGATCAAAACTCTGTCTCAGGAAAAAAAAAAAAAAAAAAAAAAAAGCAGTTTACCAAAGGCAAATGTGGCCGGAGCGTGTAGGATGAACTAGTGGAAGAGAAGGCTCGAAGCCACGGACTGGCCATGAGGAGTGGCAGGATCCTAGAAGAGAGGAAACGCATGCCCGACTTGGTATCGTCCTGGAGGGTCCAGAGAGAAGAGGATGCAGGCAGCACACATTTTAAGGGATGAGTCGTCGGAACTGGATACTAATCAGATATAATCAGCTGACGACATTCCTTCTGTGGAGTAAGCCTCTTGGGAAGACACTCTTGGGTGCGGAGGGGACCCAGAGGGACGAGACCAGATGCCTGCCGGTCTCCTAGGTTCGCGCTGGAAGGCTGGGAATTTCCTTGCCTCCTCCCCACCGCACCATTCTCCCGCCCCCCCCCCCCCCCCCCCCCCGGCCCGGAGCTGTCCCTACCTGAAGAGAAAAAACGGAAAGGCCGAGAAATCAGAGCGAGAGCGAGAGTGAAAGGGGTGGGGATGGGGGAGGATACAAAGGGGCTAGGTCTAAGAAAACGGACTTCCTAGAGTCCCGACTTGGGGGCTTGACGTCAAGAAGAGAAATAAGAGAAATCTGAAACGGGGGCGAGAGCAAAGGCAGGGGGGTGGGGGAAGAGGCGATTATAATCGACTTTTATGGCTTGACAGCCAGGGCGGAAATTAAATTTGGGAGCCGGCTAAGGCTCGAGAGTAAGGTGACGGCTCCCCCCGCGGGTTTGGAGCTGTGGGCTGGGGGCAGAGGGAGCAGCGGCAGGAGCGCGTGTCTGGGGCGCACGGGCCGGGAGGGGCGGGAGGAGAGCCCAGTCCCCAGCTCAGACTCCTCTCCTAGGCAAGGTCCCCACCTGAGCCGGGGCTGGAAGCTGGAAGCGGGCTAAGTAGAGCTGACTCGGACTTAGCTGCCCAAGGGAACGCCTCTGGGCGGTTTTCACTGCGCCCCTAGTCCGGGTCCCCGACCCCTCCTGGACACTGCTGGGACCGTGCGGGCGCAGCGTCGCCGGCCACTCGTCGTCCCGGGGGCCCCAGCTGGGGCCGCTGCTGCTGTTCTAGAGCTTGCTGGCCCCCGCGCGCCTCTCTTGCAGCTCCTGGACTACTCGGGGGTACCACGTGGTCCCGGAAGCGCGGCCACCCAGAGGATGCTGCGGCCGCCGGCGTTTCGGGACTACTCACCCGAATAGTGAGTAGTCCCGAAACTCACTATTTCGGGACTGGGGAGGCAGGAAGTCTGTGCTGGCTAGGGGTTGGTCTCAGAGGGACTGTGGGGCTTGGACACAAAAATCGCGGCGCACTGGGGAGGACACCCGGAGCGCTGGGAACTGCAGTGTGGACCCGGGAGAAAAGGGAGTTGGAGGTGGGGGGAGATCGTGCCGCACGCTTTGCATCACCTGACCTACCGTCCTGGGCTGGAGACAGGAGTGACACCTCCGCCTGAGCCCCTGAGCCGCAGTTCAGAGAAAGCTACCGCGGTGCTGGGTCCTGCGGGAGAGCCAGCAGGGCTGGGGTGGAATGGGAGGAGGGGAAGGAGTCCTGAGAGGAGCCAGGATGGGACTGGACCTGGCTCCAAGTCGCATGCCTTACACATCCTCTCCGCGCTGCCCAGCGGGGCACGGCCCGACCTCGGAAGGCCCATCCCGCCCTCGGAATCGGCCGCTCTACCAGGTGCACATAATGCTGCCAAGGATCCTGTGCCAGTCCCGTGGCAGCCGTGCAGCAAGTGGGCGGCCCGACTGACTTCAGCCGCGCCCCCCTGCGTTCGTCGAGACTTGTGGGCGATCCGGGAGGCCTGCAGGGGCTCAGGGATCAGAGTGCTAAGACGTGGCATGATCTTTCTGGGAGAACTGCGCAGAGGGTGGCCAAGGGTCACCTCCCTAGAGGGGCGAAGTCCTGAGATGTGAGGATGATTCTTAAGACAGCGCCCTTCCCGCCCCTTCCAATCCCCCAAACCACCACCCGGGTCTGGGAACAGGGTGAGCGCATGGCGAGAGGTTGTCTGGTTTTGTAGCTATCAAGTTGTATCCACGCTGCGCCCATGGGAAGTGACCCATCTGCTTGTCAGGTAGTGGCCTTGCTGTGAGCCAGGGCCATATGAAGAAAAGAAAGAAAAAAAGGAACAGCAAAATACGGTGCCCCTGCACAATGTGCTCTCCTTTCTTCTGCCCTCCCTCTCCCAGGCTGTCCTCTTCTTCCTCCACTTGTAGTTTGCTCAGCCCCCTTCTCTCCACTGCCAACCCCTACCCAGTTGAATAATGCTCAGTATCTGAGTCAGCGGATGTGAAACAAAGGGTTATTTCTCCTTATCTAATTCTGTGGAAGATTTACTAAAAGAGGGTGGAGGGTGTGTCTATTTAGCAGGCAAAAGATGTTTTTAATGTGAATAATGTTGAGAAATGTTCTGTGACTTTCACTGTTGGGCAAACCAGGGAGACACCTGCCTAGCTGGCCCTTCCTGCAGGCTTGGTAAAAAGTCCTTTCACCTGGAGGATTGGTGGCCATTTGTCAGGTGCCTAAAGAATACAAGGTGCTATGCTAGGAACTAGAACTGTACGGAAATATCCCAAAGGTTCTAATGTCATGGGACCTAACTCATTTAGGAGGAAGTAAGGCTTGAAGGTAGAGAACTATCTTGCAAGGCCGCCTGTAGCAAGCTCTTTGCACAATCAGTGAGTACAGAAATCCAGGGTAAACAAAAATTACTTCCAACTGGGATATACTTCATAGAAAAGGCATCTGGGTTGGGCGCAGTGGTTTATGCCTGTAATCCCAGCACTTTGGGAGGCTGAAGGGGGTGGATCACTTGAGTTCAGGAGTTCCAGACCAGCCTGGTCAGCCTGTCTAACATGATGAAACCCTGTCTTTACTAAAAAAACTACAAAAAATTAGCCGGGTGTGGTGGTGGGTGCCTGTAATCCCAGCAACTCAGGAGACTGAGGCAGGAGGATCGCTTGAACCCAGGAGGCGGAGGTTGCAGTGAGCCGAGATGGTGCCACTGCACTCCAGCATGGGCAACAAGAGTGAAACTCCGTCTCAAAAAAAAAAAAAAAAAAAAAGAGAAAGAAAAGAAAAAGAAAAGGCATTTGGACAGCCCTGGGGTTGGCAGAAGCCTTCCTGGTGGTAGAAGCCAAGGTCCTTGGGTGGGACAGGGTAAGGTATGTGGCTAGAGTGGAGGATCTGTAGCAGGAACTTGAGAAAAGATGCCAGAAAAGGAGATAGGGACTCCTCTGTGGCATGGGAACTGGGCTTTGACTTTCGTTGCACAGTGAAGCAACCGAAAGGCATGAGCAGGGACACAGCTGGCTCCAGAGAGGGCTGGAGAGAGATGCTTGCTGGCCATATTTGTCTGCAATCTCCCACTCTACTCTTTTTTTTTTTTTTTTTTTTTTGAGACGGAATCTCGCTCTGTCGCCCAGGTTGGAGCCCAGTGGTGCGATCTAGGCTCACTACAAGCTCCGCCTCCTGGGTTCACGCCATTCTCCTGCCTCAACCTCCTGAGTAGCTGGGACTACAGGCGCCTACCACCACGCCCAGCTAATTTTTTTGTATTTTTTTTTAGTAGAGATGGGTTTCACCGTGTTAGTCAGGATGGTCTTGATCTCCTGACCTCCTGATCCGCCCGCCTCTGCCTCCTAAACTGCTGGGATTACAGGCATAAGCCACTGCACCTGGCCTCACTCTACTCTTTGTAAACCTGGCTCACAGACAACTCATCTCCATGGACAAACAGCTCTGTTCCAGTGACTGGTCCTTTTCAAGAGAAAGAAACCCTGGGCTCGCTCTCTCTTCCTGGTGCTGTAGTGATATAGTGAGGGGCATACAGATGTGGCTTCAGAAGACCTAGATTCGCATACTGACTTTGCTGCTTACTATCTCTGCAACCTCGGGCAGTTGCTGCCTGGGTCTGGGTTTCCTGAATTCTACCATGAAGGCACTGGGTGAGCCTTCTTAAAGTGAGCCTGCACCACCTTCTAGATTATAAATGTCTATTGAAAGCCCAGTTAGATTTAGCCCTCCATGACTCTATTCTGAGACAGAGAGGAGGCTTTTGCAGGCCTGTTCTATTGCTGACTCAAGGCTACAAGCACAGCACGTGGGGCTTAATAAATAAGTGTTGAATGAAAGAACAAAAGAATGCAATGCATGAATAAAGGAATGAATGGTTAGCTCTGCTTGGAAAGCATTGATAAGCTGAGACCAGCCCCAGCCCCGGTTCTGGCTGCCTGGGGTTAGCACCTCAAAACTCAGGTAACTCTGATGTCCCCACAGAAATCAATACTGGAGAAACCATCAGTAATTGCATTTCCCTGGGCAGTCTTTTGGCTCAGCCTTTCCCTACCTGGTCTTTCTTGCCATTTCCCATGACTGTCATCCAGAGGAATCTCCGTAAGGAAAAACAACAACAATTTGGAGATGGTCACTGTGAATGTTTACACACAATTTTATAGACAGAATGTGTTTCATCACAAATTCTTTTTTCCTGAGCACTTTTTATTTTGACCTGTAGTGTTAGAACAACTCTTTGGTTTAACCCTTTTATCTTCTGGTTGCCAGAAGCTACTTTCAGTCCAACAACTCTTCCAGAGTGTACAAAGCTGTGTTCTTTGTGCCAGGCACTGTGCCAGTGGTTCACATTTCATCCCATGCTCACAAGAGCCTATGGGGTCAGCATGATTAACCTGTTTATGAAAGGCTGGGTGATTGGCCCGAGATCAGCAGCTAGTGCAGGTTAGGGCAGGGCTATGCATGTAACATCAAAGCCTACTTTTCTTTATCAGGCATTCGGTAATGTTCACTGAATGCACAGAATTGAATATAATCTTTCATTTCTCTTTTTAACCTTTCCACTGTGGATAGAGAATAGTGGCCTACCTTTTGGAAGTGTCCCATTTTTATTATTTAGAGAGGCAGCATAGCGGCAATTAAGAGCATGGGTTCTGGAGCAAAACTGCATGGTACAAGTGTTTGCTTTGTGGGACCCTGGGCCACTTAGCTCACCTCCCTGGGCCTTGGTGCTTTCATCAGTACAAATGGCATAAGGGTACTTAGCTCATAGGATTGTTGTCAAGATTAAATGAGATACGTGTATAAAGTGCTTAGTGTGATGCCCGGTGCAGAAGAGGAGAAATAAATATTAGCTGCTCTCACTGTCATCTTCATTGTCATGAATATTCTCTTCTGATTTTTACAAGATCCTTCATGTAATGCCATTCACAAACAGGAAGCTCATAAATAGTATTCTTATCCTACTATTTTTAAAGAATGGGTAGTTGGCAGTTCAAAGTGAAGAAATTAGGGATGACTGTTGGAGAGGAATTTGTTGGACAGAATAAGATGGGCCTTCGTATCTAAAGAAGATTCTTAATGAATTTTTAACATTATTAAAATGTTAGGTTAGTGTAAATTCTATATTGGAATTAAATTATTAGGAAGATGTCCACAATTACTTCCCTAAACAAATGAATATCTTTTGACTTACAAATAGGCATAATATCTTTGGACTTATAATAGGTGAAAATTACATTACTATTATAGAACCAAACTTGGGTCTGCTCTCCTGGCACAGTAAAACCAGATATCTACACTGAAGTTTTGCAGCAATAGAAGGAAAAGCATTTATTTGTAGGGTACCAAACGAGAACAACCAGGCAGCTAAAAACCTGTGTGGCTAGAACTGCTAGTAAGAGGGAGAATGATATAAAAACAGAATTAGAGAAGAAAGCAAGGGGCCAGATTACTAAGGGCATTGGGGTGAGATGGAGCAGGAACCCCCTTTCTAGAGGCCTGAAAACCTCGAGCATGGAAATAAAGAAAAATCTGGAGTTCCTTTAAGGAAAATTCCAGGAACCTAGCTAGCCCCAGAAGTAAAAAGAAATTTATCAAACAAGAAGGTAATAGTAGTCTAAAGCAGTAGCCAAGGAAGTTAAAGTTCCAGAGATGTTTGCTTTCCTTATGGAAACTAAAGATAACATCTTAACATATGTCGCAGAGTTGTCTTTCAGAGATTTGGACCCCACTGAGGGCCCTCACTGAATGGATCTGCTGGCCTGTAGATCTCAGATAAGCGGGAATTGAAAACTGAACTCTGATCACATTCTTTGTCCTAAAATTTTTCCAGAGGGGCTTAGAGAATGTCATAGTACCCTGGGGGCTCTGGGGACACAGCCAAACTATATCATTCTGATTGACATTTTTCTGCCGATTCCAATTTTTTTTTTTTTTAAGCTTTTCTTCCTAAACCAATTGCAAAGGAGAAAATCTTTGAATCTACCTATGACATGTAAGCCTGCTTCACGATATCCCACCCTTTTAGGCCTAAGCCAACATGTAACCTCCATGTATTGATTTACAGGTTTGCCTGTAGCTTTTGCCTGTGCTACAGGCAAAATCATAAAACAACACATGGAGGTTACATCTACCCCTGCCTTTAAAAATCCTTGCCTGCAAGCCATCGGGGAGTTCAGGTCTTAAGCTTCAGCTGCCCTGATTCTGCTTGGTACAAGTGTTGGCGCCCTGCAGTCAGTGCCTCACTTTCTCTCACTGCTATCCCAGTGCCAGTGATTGGCTTTGCTGAGCCAGGTGAGCAGATAAAATTCAGTTCTGTAACATCTCTCTCTTTTGTCTTAAAATAACCCAAGTTTATTTTTGGCTTAAGAGCTTTTGAACTTTCTATTCTTGAAACGCTCTTACTCAGATATTCATGAAGTTGGTCTATTTAGGGGAGAAGGCATTGAGAAAAAGATAATTAAAAACGATTTTCTTTTTTTAGGCTTTTGGTTTGATCAACTTGGATACATGGTGGTTTTCCATTTAATGAGGTGTGAATAGTGGGGGAGGAGATGTGGAATTTGAGATGTCTGTTACTAGCTTACATTTATAGAATGCTTAAGTATTGTATAACAAATTATCCTGAAACTTAGTGGCATAAAGCAGCATTTATTACCTCATTGTTTCTGGAGATTAGAAACCTAGTTGTGGATTAGCTGGGCCCTCTAGCTCTGGGACTCTTGCAGGGCTGCAGTTCTAGGACTCAACTGGGAAGGACTGTCTTCCTAGCTCCCTTGGGTAGTTGCCAGCAGAATTCACGTTCTTGCAGGTTGTTGGACTAAGGCTTTATTTACTCACGAACTGTCAGCCAGAGGTCTCCCTCAGTTCCTTGCCACATGGACCTCTCCATAGAGCAGCTCACAACATGGCAGCTGACGTCATCAGAGAAGGAGAGATACAGTGCTAGCAAGATGGAAGTCACAGTCTTTAGTAACCTAATCACAGAAACCATGTTAAGTCTGTATTAGTTGGGGTCCTCCAGAGAAACTGAACCAATGGGATACATACGTGTATGTGTGTGTGTATCTGTATCTATATCTATAT